GTTCAGTAAATTTCTTAACTTTTAACCAGTATTATTTTTTAAGTATCTCTGTTCTTGATTCTATCTGAACAAGATATGATAAAATAATACTTTTCAAAAGGCACGTTTGCCAGATAAGCTAACCAATCTAAAAGCAAAAATACCGTAAGAACGTTTTTTCTCATGAGACTGTCAGCCAATTTTACATACATCAAAGGTTTTGATAAACTTTGGGGAAGCAGCAAAAACATCGGATGTCTCTTACCAGCACAGCTTCAAATTCTGGACTGTACCTTCCCCAAAGTTCAGAATTGATAGATTTCAGAGTTTTGGTTCAAGAGCATTCAAATAACATTTACCCAGACATCCTGATCCATATCATAAAGCAAGTTATAATGTTTTCAAACTGTGGTAAAGCTCACATACTAGACTGTGATTCATGATATTTGTCATGAATCAAACAAACAAAACTTCTTCATCTTATGAGAATCAGTCAACAGTGGGCACGTCTACATGAGATTCTTACTATGCATTAGCCTAATAACACTGTGCAGTAGCGTGGCGGTTACAAACCAAGGTAAAAGCCTACTGCTCAGTCTTATTAAGCTAATGCGCAGTAAGCATCACCAAAAATGTGCTCTGGCGCTAGTGCACAGTAATTCTAGTTACTGTGCATTTAGTTAGTACTTTTTTAAGCAAGTACTAAACTAAATGCATAGTATCTAAGGTGCATTATTGAACATGTAGATACACCCAGTAAGTACTGATTGTTAAAAGATAGAAACAACTACACATTAACAAACCTGTCTGAATTAATCCTTCCTTATAGAGCTGAATAAATTCTTTGGACAAAATTCTTTTCTCACCAGTTTTACCTCATTGTAGAATACCTTTATTTTCTTACAGTAGTTATTTCTGATTTACTGAAATGAAAGGTGAACCAGATCTTGCATAATTAGTTTCTTATTATCACACACTTAGATGTCAGCTATATGTAAAAGGAGGTACAAATGTCTAAAAGATGTGTCTGTTTAGCCCAAAAAGTGAGGTGAAGTAGCCCAAACTGAGCTTCTTTCTGCTGCAGCTAAATGGCTTCTAATCCCCTTAAAGCAAAATTAGGTATGCTTACACAATGTTTACACCACGCTGCAGTGTATACATACCCAAAGATTACCTAAAGATGCAGGAAGACATTTTGTCCTGATTTACATTCTATACAATTTCATTAAAATAATGGTATTTGCACAAGGTTATGGTGCTTTATGCCGTCATTTCATAGGAATTACTTTCTCCTGAGATTTTCATTGTTTCTAGGTTTGGGCTGAATTAAAGGTCTGAAGAATTATCTTTCTCAGAGAATTATGGAGGTGTGTTTCAAGCACTAATTGTGCACATGTGTTGTGTATGTGTGCACATGTGAAAAAGAAAAAAAGAGCATGCTTCCCTCTAGTCACTGACTCCAACAATTTCACACCTTTCTCCTTCCTCACAGATGAGTCATTTCTTAGCTCTAGCAGTAAAGGCTTGTGTTTGGATGCTGATGCTCTCAGGGGCTGTGCCCCACTTAATCAACTCCTGGCCATGGTGGGGAGATAATAGGCTCTTCTACGAACTCTTACTTCACTGTATAAGACTGGCCAGTTCAATGGGAGGTAGAATATTGTGGATCAGAATATGGGAAATGCCATAGAATCATAAAAGATAGGGTTGGAAGGAGCCTCAGAAGACCATCTAGTCCAACCCTCTGCTCAAAACAGGACCATCCCCAACTAGATTGTTCCAGACAGGGCTTTGTTGAGTGGGCCTTAAAAACCTCCAAGGATGGAGATTTCTCCACCTCTCTAGGTAACTTATTCCAGTGCTTCACCACTCTCCTAGTGAGAGAGTTTTTTTCCTAATATCCAAACTAAACTTTTCTTGTTGGAACTTTAGACCATTGCTTCTTGTTATGTCATCTGCCACCACTGAGAAGAGTCTAGCTCTATCTTTTTTGGATAGTTAAAGGCTGCTATCAAATCCCCACTCAGTTTTCTCTTCTAACTAAGCCCAGTTCTCTCAGCACTCCTCATAAATCATATGCCCCAGCCCCCTAACCATTTTAAATGCTCTCTACTGGACTCGCTCCAATTTGTCCATATCCTTTCTGCATTGGGGGACACAAAACTGGACATAGTACTCCAGATGTAGCCTCACCAGTGCTGAATACAGGGGAAGAATCACTTCCCTTGATCTGCTGGCAATGTTCCTACTAATGCAACACAGTTTGCTGTTAGCCTTCTTGGTAACAAGGGCACACTGTTGACTCATATCCAATTATTGTCCACTGTAACCACCACATCCTTTTCTGCAGAGCCGCTGCTTAGCCATTTGGTCCCAAGCCTGTAGCGTTACATGTGATTCTTCTATCCTAAGTGCAGGACTTTGTACTTGTCCTTATTGAACTTCATGAGACTTCTTTTGGCCCAATCCTCCAATTTTTCTAGATTACTCTGATCCTAGCCCTACCCTCCAGCATATCTACTAGTCCCCCCAGCTTGGTGTCATCCATGAACTTGCAAAGGGTTCAATCCATCCCATCTTCCAGATCATTAATAAAGATATTGAACAAAACCAGCCCCAGGACCAACCTGAAGGAACCACTGAAGAAAACCGGTCACACTCAAAGGATCAAAATTCAACACTGGAAGATCCTGAGGGTCACTTATAATTTAATTATGGTTTGAAAATGAAATGTATAAATCAATTCATGGCAGCATTTTTGTCCTGACAAATGAAACTCTAAAGATTTTTATCCTGGCTATTAATATGTGCAATAATAGATTAGGGAAGAAATAAGACAAGTATTCTCTTTGGATTCTCTTAATGAAAGCATATAACATACCATTCTGAGCCATTGCATCCAGTGGCAAAGCTCTCATTGACTTCAAAAGGTTCAAGTTTCATTTACAGTATTTGTCATACTTGGCTACTGTCTGCCACGCTGTAGGGTGCTCCATGGTAATACAACTGAAACACTTTTCATTTGACAGTAGAAAAGCAGACTGTTAAATGTTTATATGGAAGTAAAAGATAATGTTTGATAAAATTATGTTTCCATTGTTGGAGCACTTTTTCTACTTTTGATTATTATATATACTGGTTTTTCTTCATGTGCACTTAATTGTTATTTTTCTTTTTGTTTTTCTTTCAGCCTCCTCGTCCTAATGGTCATGGTCCTCAAGGCCCCAAGGGAGACCCTGTAAGTGCTGTCAAATTTTTCAAGGAAATCCCCCCCCCCCAAAAAAAGGCAAGATCTTGAAAGCATTAAGCAAGCTCATGTTGGTGTCTGCTAGGATAATTTAACCTCTTTGGCTATAATCCATTCAAAATGTAAAATCAAGATAATCCCATTAATCTAATTAAAGTTGGGAAAACAGAAGGGAAAGGAGTTTTTAGCCCAAATTGTGCATAAATGTGTAGACTTCATGGTTCAGGGGTACAGACTGTAGCCATGTTGGTCTAAGGACATAGGCGTGTATGTCTAAGGACATAGGTTCTGCAGACACTTTCTCAGCCTGATGAAAGGTTGCAAAGAAGAATTTGTCCAGTGATTTGAGTTGGTCTCATAAAAGATATTGGATTTGCCCAAGAACCTTGTCTAGACTTTATGGTAAATTTTATTCATGTTGAAAATGATGTATATAGGCTGCTGTAGCACATTTGCATTTTATAGTGAACTATCAGCCTGTACTTTGATATTTGTTTATTACATGAACCAAAACCACTTGCAATCAGATTCAATAAAATACACTTTTTCTCCTAGTGTTTTGAACTGTATTCATTGTTAAAAGAGAAAGTTCTCTCTTACAATATATAGAAACTCACAATGTACTGAACTGTATAATATTACCAGCTCTTATTTCCATTGATTTCCCCAGGGGCATGATTTGTTCCATGGGGCCCCAGAGTCAAATATTTAACAGCAAGTACAAATGCACAAATGTAAATAACTTTCTATTTCAAACTTTCTAGGGTAGTCCTGGTATCCCCGGTAGACCTGGTTCACCTGGCTCCCCTGGAACGCCAGGCAGTCCCGGTCCTCCTGGCTCACCTGGGATCTGTCAGTCATGTCTCCCTGGAAATGGAGGAGTAAGTTATCATTCTATTTAACTCTTTAAGTTGCACATAGCACTAATGGCAATATTGTCACTCACTCAATATGCCTGTATAGACAAAGAAAATGGAATAGATCCTCCCTTACTACATTGTAACCCCATGTGTGCTGATGCAAGAAAATGATCTCATCAGAGCTGATATGCCTGTTCCATCAGCTATATACTGCATAGATGGGTGGAAATGGTTAGGAAGTAGAAAATGGAGGGTTGGGCTAGATGACTTGTGGAGGCCCCTTCCTGCTATACTTATCTGTGATTTCTTCTCTATGAAATATTGACTGTACCACCATACACATATACATACCACTCCCTTACAAGTCAGTATAAGCAAGCCAGGACAGCATGGAAACAATCTGAATATACTCAGCCAGAGATAAAATCCTGGCCATGATGAATAAAACTAAAGAACTCGCATTAATTTCAACATAATTATCATTTCACATTAGACACTAGTATCTATGGAGCAACAGAAAAATAGAAGCTAAGTTATGATATTCTAAATCACAGTGAGTGTCCCCCACAGTGCAGTTGTTACTGCACCGTCATTTAGTACTTGCTTTAGGAAGTACTAAATGATGGCACAGTAACACCCATCCCAGCAACACAGTTATTTTTAGCAGCTACGTTGCTACAGCAATGCATTATAGTGAGGTAGCTTATCGCTATGGTGACATAGTGATGGCATCACCATTTGGGTCTGCTGATGCTACGTCACTATAGTGATGAGCTATGTCACTATAGTGCATCACTGCAGCAACATAGCATCACATGTAGATGCTCCCAGTATTGCCCTGGTCTGCTTCTGGGACCATAGGGCTATTCCCTGCCATTCACCCAGCAAAAACAGCATATACTACTAATGTGCCTTAAGTGATATAATGAAGATGGGAGATCTCCAGACCGGTTTAAGGCAGTTACATATTCAAGTCCCGTTAACTTTCAATGACACTTGAGCATATAACTCCCATTTGTGTTTTTGAAAATAACAACCTAGAGTACAACTTTTATTAATACAGTTGTTCTGAAGTGCAATTAAATGAGTCATCTGATATGCCTGAAAGGTCCAGGTACAATAAAGGACTAGCATACCTCAAAATGTGTTGGGCTAGAAAGGCAGTGTGCAAGAGTAAATATGAATCTGTTGCCCAATGGTTAGTATTCTCGTCTGAGAAGCAGAAATCCTAGGTTCCAGTTCTTGCTCTCAGGGTTATTTCTGTATGTTATCTGGTGACTCCTTAATGTAAACTACAGAAGCAATTTTAGGAGGAGCGGCCAAAGCCTACATGTCCTTTCATCCAGGTGAGTGACCTAACCACTGAACTACAAAGTGAGCAACGTTCTCATTTCTTTCTGGCCCACTAAATCTTGAATTCCTTTCCACATGGGAGGACAGGTTGAACCTGGGTATGTGTATGTATCCACAAGGGAGAAGACTTTCACCCAGAACAGTGGTAAGGGTGCTGTGTGAGAAGGTCAGAGATCTAGGTTTGATTCCCATCAGTGAGAGGAGGGGACTGAACCCATCTCTTCTATTTCCTGCCAGGAGTCTCCAATCACTCAGCTATTGTATAAAAGCAGTAAATCATCACCCTTCAACTTCTGTTTCCTTTTAAATTAAAGCTACTGCAATTTACCAGGAATATGGAATGTTTTTATGTTGTGGACAAGGTCTGAAAGTGCCTACAAACTCAAAGCTCTTACAGAATAGATGGGTGGAAATGGTGGAGTGCCTAATTTCTAGGTCCTGAATGAGCTTAGGTATGAGGTGCTCAGTCATTGAGGTGCTCAGTCCTGTCGAAGCTGAGGCACTTCTGTACATACCCAGAACTAGAAATTTCAACCACCTGTGAATGTGGGTATGAATCAAAATTTGCATCACCTACGGAGTATAGGTGCCTTACAAGTTTTCAGGATCAGAGTTTTGGACTTAGCTTTCTAAATTCTGCTAAATCCCTAACCTAGATATCTACATCCTTTTTTGGATCTAGGGCTATTTGTACTCTTGTACTCTGGAACCTTTTAGCTAAAATTTTATGCATTTATTTTTGTAGCAGGAATTGAAGAGCAAATGATTAGAAGGCTGATATTTTTCCTGCATAAAATTAGATTTATCAATACTTAGTTTCACACTTCAACTACTTTAGTACTAGAATATAAAAGAATTTATGCTGTAACAATTGCTCTTCCTAAATATGACTCAACTTGGTCCATCGTTCAAAAATAAATGCCTTCATAAACCTTTCTCAACAGAAAGTGAGCCAAAGGTGTCTCTTCCTTGTCTTTAGCTACTTCCTAAAGGAACAGTTTCAAAGGGACAAAACTTCTGGGTGACATATCAACAACTGATTAGTCAGTCTTAGTCAGCATTTTGCTATTGCAGCAGGTTCAACAGAGGTGAAGAGGGCCTGAATCTGTCTTCCACTCACATTCTAGTTCTGCAATTAAATCCCCAAGAGCAGATCCCTCTGCTCACGTAAAGCCCTGCTAACATCACCGATGCTCCACACTGGGATATCATTCTACTTCTACTGCTTCAACTCCAGGTTCTGGGTCTAAAGTGGGCTGAATAATCCCATTATTGGATGTATTCACGCCTTTCCAACTTTTCCTCTTAAGCACTTATCTGGCAAAAATATTTACGTTGCATTAATTCCAGTTCACCTCACTTTACCAAACATCTTCAAAATACATTCAAAAGGTATGCAAGTTAGCAGATAGATTGGGAACATCCTGGAGGACTGAAAATAAATTCTGTTTTGCTTTGTATTGTCAAAAACCTATTGTCTGAAAATCACATATTAAAAATAACACCTGCTTTCCAGAAGCCAACTGGGCCTGTTCTGTCCTCTGGCCTTGTTCAGAACTCTCCTAATGTTAAAGCGGGTTTGTCATAGAAGAGTGAAAATTATCTCCTTGGCCTGGAACTGGAGACTATCTTTGAATTGTTCAGCCCAGCATGAGAAAAGCCTTAAGAAATCTGCAGAGATGAAAAATAGCTGTAAAATGGCTGCAAAGTTTCTTGCTCCACGTTATAAGATGCACCAGGTCTTAATCTGAGTTTATTTTGGGAAGCTGAGGGGAAAAGTTAGGGAATGACAAAAAGATTTTAGGGTTAAAAATGCTCTGAAATGAGATGTGGTAAAATATTTGTGTTCACAACACTTGAACCTTTAGTAACTGACTCAGTTAATACTACTGTGATTTATTTCCTTTGATGTCAGTGGAAAATCTCTCATTAACTTCATTGTGTTGAGCCAATAAAGATGGAGTTACAGGAAGAAACTTAGGAAAATAGAATGAGCCAAGTTTTCTGGTAAGACATGACCCAATAATAGGTATGGAACTAAGAAAAGAGAAGACAGACCAGGGAGGCATACTTGCTTAGATCCAGTGTAGGTCTTAGCAGGCTCATCTACACGAGATGTTTACTGTGCAGTTTCCTAATTAATGGCACAGAAAATGTCTCAGCATCTACATGTGCCCCCCTATTAGGACTCCTGAAACTAATAAACTCTGCAGCAGGGTAGGATTTGTAAATACAAGTGCTACCCTGCTACAGAGCTTTTTTTTCCGTGCACAGCAGAGCACATATATCCACTGACTGGCTGGCTGGAGCACGAGGGTGCTTCAGTGTGGGGTTAGCCAGCAGGCAGTGCCCTCACTGAAGCATCCTTGTGCCCCAGCCAATCCCCCCTCCCTGGGCTGGCAGCCTGGCCTCCAGAGACCTCCTGCCAGCTGGAGCTGCTGTGACTTGACTCAATGTGCTGTGGTCTGGGCACATGTGGAGACATGCACCCGGGAGCTTCCCAGGAGAAATACACTGTGGGACAATAAGCTCCATAGTATTTTGCTGCCCCGTAATGGCACATGTAGATGCACTGAGCCATATATAGAGCTTTTGCTACCCTCTTCCCCAGGATGAAGGCAAAGAAAGATGCCATACAGTTGTCCACTAAGGAAGCCTTTCAAAACATGGCAGGGAATTTAAATTTGAAAACATTGCTTCACTAAGTATATACATGAATTATTTCTCATTAAAGAAGCCTCAATAAGTACATATTTCCTGTTTTGTTTTCTAACAGACACTTCTGGTTTTTTTGATCTCTGTTACAGAGTTATTCTCCTCAGTATACTGGCTATGACACGAAGAAGGCTGGTGGTAGTATCATTGATGTAAGATAATAACAATTTCTCTCTCCATCGTTAAGCACACTTTTTCCTCCTTATAGATTGTGCCATGGATGTTTATCTCTTTTCTGTTAAATGAATGAAGTTATTTACTGAATCACTGCCTGCAAATGGAATAAAGTTTAGGGCAGAGTTTAGCTGGGAATTATTGTTCTAGAGCAGTTCCAGATTTATGCACGACATACACTATGCAATCACTCTTCTTTTTTTCTCTTCCTTCTCCTTCCTGTCTCCTCATTTCTTTTCTCCTACATATTCTCTGATTCTCTCTCATAAGCTATTTCCTCTTTTTTATCTTTGCTCATCTCTTTCTCACTTGTTCATTCCCCTCACTTTTGCTTCCTTGTTTCTCTCCCCTTTTTCTCTCCTTTTCTTCCTGTACGTCTCACCATTCCTGTACTTGTTGTTTGTCTCTTCCTTTATTAAATGCTTCTCTCTCACACAACATCTCTGCCTTTCCTTTCCTCTCTCCAGTAACATTCAGGGTTATTTATGTTCAATATAATCCTTTATCTCACTTTCCACAGTGGAAATGTGGTTGGATGAAAAATTAATATACACCCCTTCATTCTAGTTCTTTTCAGACCAGATGCAGACAATTTTCTACTGTGTTCTTTTTACCCACAGCTAATCAGACTGCACTAAGGATGTTGACTCTATTGCCTGATGCAAGCTTTTAAGATTTTTCATTTAATGAAGTCAAAAAAATATGTTGAATAAAACAATCATGCAGATTGTTGGAGAAGATGCATCTCAGGAAGTTTCATTTTGTGCACAAGGTTTTTAATTTTGGCATCACTGCTAACATGAAGTGCTCCAGAACTGTAGTTTTCCATTGATATGTACAAGTGCCTTCTGATTAAAGTCAGGGAACACAGTACAATACACAATGGGTATAATTAATTGTTATCTGAAATGGTTACTTCTTCATTAGTTACGGTAATGCTTTTTCTAGTTTTACAATCTGCATAGCAGGGATTGCATAGCATGTAATGTATTACATGAAGGCAGCACCAAGCAAACATGTTATTTCACTATGTTCCATCAGATCACTGTGTGGGATGAATGGTAGACTTCCTCTTACTGAACTATATATATTTTTCTCCTCACTTATGTTTTCTATTGTTTGTTTCTACCTCATTCATTCACTGATATGGTCAAGGTTTCTACAGTCATTCATTCATCTACTATTTTGTTCATTCACTCAATCTTTTGTCACTTATCCATTTATCCTTTTCTTTATTTGCAGTTCCTTAGTTTTTGTTCATAGTTTGTATACCATCTACATTCTGCTACTTAGCTTCCGACTAAAAGATGTGCTGAACTAGAAAGACAAGAGATACTCTTCAGTTACTTGCTCAGATCCAGCATACATTGCTACACTATATTTTGGCATTTACATTAGAGTTGATCATATATTTTTCATACGCAGAACACAATTTGGGGGGGAAGGGCAGGAGGGATTTTGTGGGGGTTTTTAAGCTAAATTGGATAACCTAAATGCTTTGCTGTCTGTTTTTGCCAGACATTGTCTTCCCACTTGCTTTACATGTGACTGATACGTTGTGATTAATACAGCCAATAGAACTAAACTCATTACTAAACGTATTATTTTGTGGCATGCTATAAATCTCAAAAGCATTTGTTTATTGTTACTGTTGTTTTTATTAGTATCTTTTTGTAAGTTCAGATAAGTACTGAATCTCTGGACAGTTTGAGGAGGCAACTGGTGTTTTCCATAGCTCAAATATTTTTTTCCTTAGAGGTGTTTAACCATGACTAGTATTTCATTATCCATACATCTCTTCACCATTATCCTTGCTATGTCCTTTTACTATATGTTTACAGATCTTTTTACCTCTACATGTTAGTTTCTCTTCATACGTTTTCATTTTATATTGACTTTCATATGGTCTGTTTTATTGTTTTTCTCTCCACCAAAGCACATTTTTCAGCTAAAAAGCACTGTTTTCACAATCTGGAAACAGTGATAAACACATGCCATTCTTAACTATAGCTTTATTTCTATGTTCTGCACTTTGAAAGATAACATGTTTGGTTTGTGTGTAGCCATATATTGATCCTGCAGCAGTGCAATTTCTTCCATGTTAAATTAGTTCTAATGATGAAGAGTGAGAGACTCCCTATAACAACGACACATCCAAAGCAAACTGATTTGCCCAGATCCAAGTTCTCTGTCAATCAGTGTACTCTGATAAATACATAGCAACTGCTATCATAATTTTCACAGCATAAGCCTCTGAAATATTGTTTACAGAAGTTGGAGTAACCTGGTTGAGTGAAAATTGGTTAGAACTAGAGCATCTGTTAATATACTATCTGCGCTGTAAATGATGGAATTCTATCTGTTCCATGAGAAATACTATGCATGCTCTAAGCTATAGAACATATTTTCTCCACTATGAATAATATCATTTATGCTGTTCTCATTGGACTGTAAATACTGAAGACTATAATTTGAAACATAATAAATTGCTCAGTCATTCAGTAAAAGTGCATTCTGCTTCTGCTGAGGTACTCTTGGATACTAAAACAATTTTTTTGGTACAGTTCCCTCTTTCCTGATAGAAAATTTTCCACCAACTACACTGTATTTCACTACATACTTCTGGTTAATAGCAATAGCTTTACTATTGAAATCTGTTTTTTACTATAATTCCCACTAGCAGTATGGTCATGTTAAGTTTCATATCCGGCTTATATTGCTATAATTACTATTTTTAATTCTGCACTTCAGGGTGTGTATCCAGGACTGCCTGGTCCTCCTGGCCAACCCGGGCCCCCTGGCCCAACTGGCCACCCAGGTCAACCCGTAAGTACAATTCATTTTTGCATATACGGTTTGTCTCTTGAAATATCCAGACCTTTTCTCCTTGAATTTGGGCACAATTTCAGCTAGGAAATCTAGTTTCTAAGAGTTTTATTATTTTGTCTTGGTTCTTTTCTTGGCCTGTAACTTTCCCTCTGTAACAGATGTCTTAAGGCCAGATTTAAAACAAAAGCACTCCCAGTGGAGACAATGGTATTGTTTGGCATGTAAGTCACGGCAGAATTTGGCCATCAAAAATTCTTAGAGCAAGTACAACATTATATGTTGATCACGCCAGCCATGCTTATGTTGCCCTAAAAATGACACTCCCAATCTAAAGTTAGTTTTATCAGACAAGAGCTAATTATAGATTGGCATGGGTTAACCCACCCTAAAGGGGTCAACACAACCTAAGAGCTTGCATGCCTTCCCAGCACAGCCCCAGAACTGGAAAAGGCCAGCCACTCTCTACAGTCCCAGGGCTGTGCTGTTTTTATGTTCATGAACCTGACCAAGCTATTTTTATCCTCCACCTAGGCACTGCTCTGGACTGGGCTGCCCCCCACAGCAGACCTGAAGCCCCCTCCCCCCCCCCCACACACA